AATATTTTTTACCAAATAATATAAGTTTTATCATTATACTCATTATCACTGAAATATTTTAGCGTCACCGTTATATACTAAGTTTATATTCATTGCTGCTATATCACTTGATTCTATCATTATATTTTGTCACTATACTCACTATAAATACACTATACCAGTTCCACCATTATCCTTATTGTTATTTCATCGTCCAAGTTCAATATTCAATAAGTTTATATAATCTTATTTCTATTATTATTCTCATGAAGCTCTATCTTTATACTCACTATCACTATCACTATACCAACCATAATATATTCACTATCATCATTATTCAAGTTTATTTATTTCAGTTCCATCATCATACTCATCATACTCTATAATTATACTGACTATCACTATACCAATTTTACCATTACTCAGGTTTATATAGTTTTATTACTATTAGTAAACTCATGTTACCCCATCTTTATACTCACTATCACTATCATTTAGGTTTATATAATTTTATTTCTATCACCATACTCATTATAATCTATCATTATAATCACTATCACTATCATCCAGGATCATATAATTTTATTTATATCACCATACTCACTATAATCTATCATTATACTCACTATCGCTATCATAAAGGTTTGAATTATTTTATTTCTATTACCATACTCATTATGATTTATCATTACACTTACTATCACTATCATCCAGGTTTAAATTATTTTATTTCTGTCACCATACTCATTAAACTCTATCATTATACTCACTACCACTATCATCCAGGTTTAAATCATTCTATTTCTATCATAGAAATAATATTATATAAACCTGGATGATAGTGATAGTGAGTATAATGAAGATTTTATTTCTATCACCATACTCAATTATACTCAATTATACTCACGATCACTCTACCAAGATTATACTCACGTTAGGTTGACGAAAAGACCTCCAGTGATGAGCATGAGGATGTCAAACGGCACCAGAATGACCTGACTGTATTCGATGTTTTCAAACATGGCTGAGAACATGGCACCTGGAATGGGAATTTGGGAGGTGAAGCGGGTGGAAGAAGCGTTTTTTTGTTTTTTGATGAATTTTTGGTATAGATTGTGTAGGTTTTGAATTTGATTGGAATGTGGAGTGGTTTCTTTTTTTATATAGAGCTTGTGGTCTGAATGTAGAGTGAGGTAGATAAGGTTATAGTGTATTAGGATGTGGGTTGTTGGTTGCATTTATACATACGTGCATGCATACATACATACATACATACATACATGCATATACATACATACATACATACATACATACATACATACACACGCACACACACAGACACAACCATACAGGCACACACATACAACCACACACACACACATACACACACAAGGACACACACACAACCCCCCCCCCACACACACACACACACACTCATCCACCCCCCCAAAAAAATACCAACAGACACATACATCCCAACCAACACTCCCACCTCCAGATAGTACCAATAAAAAACACAAGAACCATCTATCCCCAAAAGACGAAACAAAAACGCATCACAGAAAACCCATACCGCAGGCAGAGGCGACGCTGGTGGTGAAGATAACAATCAGAACCGTCATGAAGAACTGGTAACTGTGGTGTTGAAGACCCACCATCCAGTAGCAAATAGTGGTGAAGATAATCGGATCCAGGATAAAGCCGGGAAGCTTTGGGGGGGCAGAAGATAGTGATAGGTTAGTGAGAGGTTTCATGAGGATTTTGTAGTATGGGGTGTGATGGTGATGGTGATGAGTCAGTGGCTGGGATTATGATGGTGATGATTTTGGATAATAATTGCGATGGTGATGAGTCAGTGGCTGGTATTATGATGGTGATGATTTTGGATAACAATGCGATGGTGATGAGTCAGTGGCTGGTATTATGATGGTGATGATTTTGGATAATAATGCTATGGTGATGAGTCAGTGGCTGGTATCATAATGGTGATGATTTTGGGTAACAATGCGATGGTGATGAGTCAGTGGCTGGTATTATGATGGTGATGATTTTGGATAACAATGCGATGGTGATGAGTCAGTGGCTGGTATTATGATGGTGATGATTTTGGATAACAATGCGATGGTGATGAGTCAGTGGCTGGTATTATGATGGTGATGATTTTGGATAACAATGCGATGGTGATGAGTCAGTAGCTGGTATCATAATGGTGATGATTTCTGTGAATAATGATACGATGGTGATGAGTCAGTGGCTAGTATTATAATGGTGATGATTTTGGATAATGATACGATGGTGATGAGTCAGTGGCTGGTATCATAATAGTGATGATTTTAGTGATAATATGATAGTGATTTAGTGAGTCATAACGCAATGGTCATTTAGTGAGTGATAATAAAATAGTTATTATTCCATGGCTGATAATAATGGCGTTTTAATCATTGATAATGAAATGGTGAATGGTGAATTATTAAGGGACAGGATAATGGTAATTTAGTAAGTGATTATAAGGGTGAATTTGTGGCTGATAACATAATGATAATGATTTAGTAACTAATAATATGATTATCTAATTTCCACAAAGACGGAAGACAATGTTCCTAATTTGCATATGCATCATTTATTCACCATATTTGTTTATTTATATGTTTATTTATTTATTTATCTTATTCATCATTTATTCATCAAAAATATCAAATAGAATCCTAGACATAAATATATTTTAACGAAACAACAAGAAAACGATGATAAACAAACAAACAACTAAACGAAAGAAAGTAATTGGAGATAAATAGATTTAAAAATTTATATTAGATAATTAGAGAGAAAAAGACATAACAAGGAACAAACAAACAAAAAAGATAAACAGAGAAAAAAACAGTAAAATGTAAACAGAGAAAATAAACAATAAGTGATTTTAAAATACCAAGGAATAAACAGAGAAAAAACAATGAAAATAAAAAGAGAATAAGCAACAAGAGATTACAAAATGCAGAGAAAAAAACAACGAGAGAAACAAAGACAAAAAAGACAATAAAAGATAGAGAAAAACAAACAAACAGTAAGTGATTAACACAGAACAAACAAAACAATAAGAAACAAACAGACAAAAACACACAAAAAGAGCAAATAAATAAACCAGAAGAAAAAGAAAATGATAAAAAGCAAAAAGATAAGAAACAAAACATGAGAAAAAGGAATAAGAAAATTAATGAAAAAAAAAACACACACACAAAAAGATAAAAAAACAAAAACAAAAAAAAGATAAGAAACAAACCAGAAGAAAAAAGAAAAAAAAATCAAGAACCAAACTAGAACAGAAAAAATAGAATAGAAAAAAAAACTGATAACTCACCATGGAGAACATCTTGGCCATATAATACGTATCCGACCTGTATATCCCGTTCCGATACTCCCTAAGGAAGAGGGGAAGCTCCAAGGGGAAGATGTTGAGCACGGCGTAGATGGAGGGGAAAGTGTTCTCGGTGATGAAGATGAACAGAACGCCTTCGATATCCTGAATACCTTGCTGGTTGAGGTACGTGTTCGTGTAGCAGACGCCAATGAGGAGGGCCATCAGCTGTGGGGGAGAGAGGAGGAAGGGGGGAGGGGGTTAAGGTTTGTGTGTTTGTGTGCGTGGGTGGAAGGGAGGGAGGGAGGGGGAAGGGGAAGGGGAGGAGGAGAGAAGGGGGGATTTGTGAGGGGGTTTGTTTATTTGGTTTGTCTTTTATGGGTCTCTCCTTTAGTTTCTTTTTCTGTCTCCCTTATGTCCTTCTCTCCTCCCTCTTTCCCTTCTTCTCTCCTTTTCTCCTTCTCTCCCTCCCTCCCTCCTTCTCACTCCTGCTTTCCCTCTCCCTCCCCCTCCCTCCCTTCTTCTCTCCTTCCCCCTCCCTCCCTCTCCCTCTCCCTCCCCCTCCCATCCTCACCCTCCCTCCTACTCCCCCTCCCTCCCTCTCCCTCTCCCTCCCTCTCCCTCCCACCCACCCATTCTCTCTCTCATCCCCCACAAACCCCTCACAAACAACTTACAATCTTCTGCAGTATCCTTATGCCATGAATACTCGGGTTCCTGTAGGAGTCGAGGAGGGCCCGCCACGTGAGCCAGTACAGCTGCACCCACCAGTTCGGAACTTGGCTGGAAAGTCAAGGTAAAACTTAATCTTTTTAATATTTTAATACATGTATACATACATACATACATACAAACAAACATACATACATACACACACAAATTTTAAATATTCTTATTATATTTCTCGTAGGTAAAACTTAATCTTTCGTGTTTTTTTAAGTATTCTTATTATATTTCTCCTCATTTCAAAAATATTTTTTCGTAACTGATATTTTTTTTTTGTTGAATTTATTGTTACGGTCACTCCTATTATTGTTATTGGTGTCGTTATTTATTTGGTATTTATTTTTGAAGTAACAGGCACTCATACATGTCAACGGACGTAAATCATTAAATAAATGAAGGACCAGAAGATAATATAAATCAGAAAATTTAAGCAAAATCGATAAATTGATAAATATAAATGAAAAGTTTTTAAAAAATCAAAGTAGAAAATAAAACAAATAAAAGAAAAGAAAAAGAAAAAATATATATATATAAACAAAACAATATATATTCATAAAGATATATATATTCAACTGAATAAATAGATAAAAGATGGGTTTAAAAAGAAAAAAAAACAGAGCTTACTCACGGTATATTTCTGACGATGTTGATTACAGATTCCTAGAAAGAAAAAATAAAATATTTCATTAACAATTTCAAGATATTTTTCTGTCGTTTTAAAAATGGGGTCACTTATTTCCTTGTTTTTAGTACAAATACCGCGTGTTTGTACGTGTTTAGATAGATAGATAGATAGATAGATAGACAGACAGATAGATAGATACATACATACATAGACAGATAGATTTAGAGACAGATAGATAAATAAATAAAGAGACAGATAGATAGATAGAGAGATAGACAGATTGATACATAGATAAATAAATAGATAGACAGATAGAAAGGTAGAGAGATAGATAGATGCAAGTATATCACATTATCCATAAACTTACCGTGCTTGACTGGCCAGATGATCCATTCCCGCTGTATGAAGTCGTTTTCTGCAATTGCAATATAAAACAAATCAACATAGACTCCAAAGAAATATTTTGAAAATCTATAACTCTTTCGCAGTTCGATAAGCAAGTGCGAGCGATCCATTAGCGCCGAAGAAATCGCTAATTAACTTAAATTAACTATGAGGTATGTGTTGCATGAACGGAAATGCTATGCAATGTTGATAGAGAATGAGTAAGGGACATTTTTGTCTGTCTTTTTTTACGCTAGGAATAATTAATGTACAATGAAGATATTCTTACCAGGTTATCGCAATATATATGGATGAAAAACATATGAAGAAATGAAAATAAAAAAAAACGATATGGATGACATAACAAAATCAAATATTCCCAATCGTAATTAAGGATTAATAAATGAATAAATAATCCTATCGATAAATATTCCTCTATCCTAATCCTAATCACACTCAATATAATCATGCAACTGATCCTGAAGTGGATTTATATGAATACTATAATTATATTGATTATATTAAGAACTATAATTGAGATTCTATGAGAGGCGTGTTTTTTTCCCTTACTGACTTCAGAAGGGGGGGGGGTGATATCTCTCTCACGTGACTGTGAATTCGATAGATTGAAAGGCTTTAGATGAAAAGATACTTATGTAATCAACAGTCGGTTCATATGATCCAATCGACCGTGGAATATATCATGAACGTCTTACGATAGACTTTCTCTCATGACAACCGGGGAATTTGTGAACACTTCTTAAATACACACCTTGGGATATCTGAACATTTTTCCCTAACTACTTCCTAATTACATCCGGGAAATCTGTGAACATTCCTCCCTAATTAATGCCTAATAACACCCATGGCATATATGAACTTCCTTTCTTGATTTCTCCCTGATTACACCCATGAAATCTGAGACTATTTTTTCTTCAATTAAACTCGTGCAATATGCGAACACTTCTCGCTCATCAGACTCGAGGGACATACGAACACTTTACCTTAATTAAACTCTAATTGCACACGAACCTCGCTTTCTAAATCCTCCCCAATTCATCCCCACTTCCCCACTATTCCTCCCCCACTTTCCCCCCACTTCCTCCCCAACTACTCCCCCACAATCGCCACTTCCTTCCCAATTTTTCCCCACTCTCCCACTTCCTTCCCACTTCCTCCCCTGCCACTTCCCCTCCCCACTTTCTCCCATCAACACCCTCAAGGAAAACAACCTCAGCCTCACCCCCCTATCCGTGTACTGCAGACTCATGTTATCCTGGTACTGGATGCTGATGTCAATATCCTTCGCGTAGGCTGAGACGGCGAAGTTGTCACAGATGCGCTTGATCCGTTCTCGAGACCTGAGTTCGTGACCCGGCTGGACAGCGAGTGTGTGGATGTAGAAATCAGCTGGGTTGAAAGTCGCGGGACACTTGTGACCTAGGCTGGAGTAGAGGGGACGTGTGGGGTTGAGAGAGTAGAAGGTAGATGGGGTAGATAGGCATACGGGAGGGAAAGAGTTGGTAGGTATTCGGGAGAGAAAGAGTGGAAAGGCATTCGTGAGAGAAAGTAGATGGGCAAATGGGAGAGAAAGAGTTGATAGGCAAACGGGAGAGAGCCAGAGTAGACAGATATTCGGGAGAGAAGGAGTTGATAGGCAAACGGGAGAGGGAGAATAGACAGGCATTCGGGAGGGAAAGAGTTTATAGGCATACGGGAGAGAAAGAGGTAGACAGGCATACGGGAGAGAAAGAGTAGAAAGCAGAAATAGTAGAAAGTAGAAGCAGTATAAGAGGAGAAAGAGTAAGAGTATAAGAGCAGAAACTTCTTATTGAGTTTTGCCTTTTAGATTAGCTGTAGGATTATTGTTGAGTCTTGAGTACTTCCAACTTCGATACTGTTGATTGGTTTAAATGAGGTACATGTAAACTATCAGATGCAAATAAATGAAATGATAAAATAATAACGGTAGCATTAATTCTTTCTACACAATCACTGGAATACTTTCGTAATGTTGATACAGTTATCGAAGCTCTTTATGTTATAATAATAATATCATTGTGAATAGGAGCGTCAATACAAAGCAAAAATCCAGTCGAAACCGAATTATATTTATAGTAACAAAAAAATGTCATGATTATATCTCCTTTGGGAAAAAAATATTTCTTGATCAAAGTTATCACAACCTCTTAATTTTTTTCCCAAAATACATATCAACAACCCCTCTCTCTTTTCCCCCGTTGCATGAAATACAAATCAACCCAATATATTCCCCTCATCTTCAACACAGACCACTCCCTCCCCTCTTCTCCTCAACGTAAGACAAAACCAAGGCGCCCAAGCCAGCTCTCTCCGTCGAACTCACCCATCGAGGAACTCCAGAGCACCAGACGAAGACCCCATGTAAGCCAGACGTCCCTCGGAAAGCAGGAGCAGCTTATCAAACATCATGAAGACCTCGGTGGAAGGCTGGTGGATGGTGCACAGGATGGTCTTCCCTCGAGCTGCCATTTCTTTCATCATCCTGACCAGTTTCTTGGCGTTGTAGGAGTCTAAGCCTGTGGTGGGCTCGTCGCAGAAGAGCATGGGAGGATCGGTGAGGATCTGGGGCAGGATGGCGGAGGAGGGGGGAGGGGAGAGAGGGAAGGGGAGGGGGTTAATGCTTAAGATTATTGGATACTGAGCTGGAATTCTGATATGCTATCTGTGGCAAATATATAGATATAGAGATAAGGAAATACATAACTATGTAAATGAGGATTGATAAATAAATGAAGATTGATAAATAAATTGAATAAATAATCAAATGAATAATTAATCAGTCAATAAAAAGAGAAATCAATAAACAAATAAAAATATAAACATACAAATGAACAAACCAACAAACAAAAAAATCCCCCCCCTAAAAAAAATAAAAAAAAAAAAAAAAAATATCTTTAAAAATCCCCCTCTACAAAAAAAAAAAAAAAAATAAAAAAAAAATAAAAATAATAAAGTGTCCTTTCCCAGACGGCCTTCGGATCCGCACCTCCGTAGCAAAAGCGAGCCTCTTCCTCTCTCCTCCCGATAAGGACTTATCTGTGCCCGGGACGCCAATGCGGCTGTTCTGGACTCTCTTCAGCCCGAGTTCCTTTATCATCTCGGCGACTCTGCCCTCTCGCTCTGCCTTGGTCGTGCGCCGGTCCATTCGGAGACGTGCCTGTGTGTGTATTTAAGGGGTTAAGTGTGTGTGTTGTGGTCTTTGGTTGTAATGAGGTGTTTTTGGGTGAGGGTAAGTTGGTAGTTCATATTCATGGTCGTTAGGCGATGGATTTAGGACGGGATGGGGTTGTCACAATGCTGATTCGAAAATATTTATGAATTTTTTAGTTTTTTTTACATGAAGAAAATATTTTCCGATTTGAAATCCAATGTAAAAACTCACTAATGAACCAAGCACACACACACACACACAGAGCACCCATCTACCTCTTCATCCACACACACACAGACACACACACACACACACACACACACACACACACACACACATACACATACTCACGCCTACACACACACACACACACCAAACACATACTCACCCCTACACACACACAACTACTCACACTCACCTATCCACACACCCATACCCACACACTCACGCATCCCCCCTCCACCCCCCCCCCCCACACACACAACCACCCACACCAACGAAAAAAAAAACCCGCCACGAACTCACATTGAAGAGAAGATGCTCCCTGACGGTAAGCGACCCGACAAACAGATCATCTTGGTGGACGTAACCGGACAGTGAATTCATACTACGGTTGGCTCGATGTCCGTTCACCATGATCTCGCCGTCAACCACAACGCCACCTGGTGTGCGGTGGGCGAGGGCGTTCATTAGCGTGGATTTCCCGGCGCCACTGAGGAGGAAGGGAAAGGTATTATCTCTATGTACGTGGGTGGGTTGGGTGTGGGTGTGTATAGACACATACACATGCACACTCATATATACATAGATGTAGTACACACACACGCACAGATATATATATATATATATATATATATATATATATATATATATATATATATATATATATATATGTACATATATATATATATATATATATATATATATATATATATATATATATATATATATATGTATATATATATATATATATATATATATATATATATATATATATATATATATATATATATATATATATATGTATGTATTATGGTAGAAAAACCCACAATGTAAATACTAGATTTTTACATTGTTGGTTTTTCTACCATAGTATCAACACGGTAGAGTGTTTTCTTCATAAATATATATGTGTGTGTGTGTATATGTATATATATGTATATATATGTATATATATGTATATATATGTATGTGTGTATGTATATGTATGTGTATATGTATATGTATATATATATATATATATATATATATATATATATATATATATATATTTATATACATATGTATTCAAGAATGCATGCATGCATGCATGTATGTATGTATGTATGTATGTATGTATGTATGTATGTATGTATGTATGTATGTATGTATGTATGTATGTATGTATATATACATACATATATATATACATATATATATATATATATAGATATATATATATATATATATATATATATATATATATACTATATATATATATATATATATATATATATATATATATATATATATATATATATATGCACACACACACACACACACACACACACACACACACACACACACACACACACACATATATATATATATATATATATATATATATATATATATATATATATTGGGAGAAGATGAGGAGAAAGATGAAGGAAATGAAATAGAAAAGAAGAAAAAGAGAGAGGAGAAGAAGAAGTAAAAGAAAAGGAAGAGGAGAAAAGGAAAAAGAAAAAGAGAGAGACAGAGAAAGAGATGAAGAGAGAAAAGAAGAGATGATAAGAATGAAAACGGAGAAACGAAGAACAAGAAAAAAAGAAGACGATCCATAGGAATAAAAGAATAAATATCAACATGAGACCAACAGGTTATGTAAAACAGCAAGAAAGATTAACCAGCAGAACCATAATAACAGGAAATTGAAGTGAAATAAACGGAGGTCCTGTAGTGAAAACAATTATATATATATATATATATATATATATATATATATATATATATATATATATATATATATATATATATATATGTATATATATATACTGAAATTCATATTATATATATTTTCCGAATTATATACTATATATGTATATACTGAATCATATACAGCAAAGTAAACAGAAACACTTTATTTTGGTAAGAAAGGGATATAAAACGTATAGCAAAGGGAGCATTATGATAAAATGGGCTTTATTAAGATATTTAAGGATAGAACGTAGAGGAAGAAGGGAACATTGGAGAAAGATTATGTAGCATGAAAAGGCAAGGATAATCCGGGAATGGAGAAGAATGAAAGAATAAACGATACGTGTTCTCTGCGGCTGTTCTGAGATCATCCTGGTTAGCTGCCTGCAGTATAAGCAGGCCTATCTCTCTCTCTTTCTTTCTCTCTCTCTCTTTCTTTCTCTCTTGCTCTCTCTCTCTCTCTCTCTCTGTTGCTCTCTCTTGCTTTCTCTCTCTCTCTCTCTCGCTCTCTTGCTTTCTCTCTCTCTCTCTCTCTCGCTCTCTTGCTTTCTCTCTCTCTCGCTCTCTAGCTCTCTCTCTCGCTCTCTTGCTTTCTCTCTGTCTCTGTCTCTGCCTCTGTTTTCTCTCTCTCCTTCTCAAATCGCTCTTAGTCTATCCTCCTCTCTTCTCTCTGAGTCTCTTTCTCTCTCATAAATATTCATATAAATAAGTATATATACATACATACACACGCACGCACGCACGCGTACACACACACACACACACGTGTATATGTGTACAGGTAAGTGTATATATGTGTGTATGTATATATGTATGTGTGTGTATATATATATATATATATATATATATATATATATATATATATATATATATGTGTTTGCGTGTGTGTGTACTACACATTCGCATAAGTTTAAATGCTTCCATTGTAACAAACAATAGCAGTTCATGACAAAGTGGGGCCCAGATGCGTTAGTGAGAGTTCGCGCGTGAGCTCAGTGTCGCTTTTAGAATTTCCCAACTCGAGTGCAACAAAAAAAGCAGGGCATCTTTGATCTCGTCCTTCGCAATGTCTCCCGACGGCGCCCGATGGTATATTCTGATGGTATATTATGGTATGAGTGTGAGGTCTTTCTCGTCATGATACTGTCTTGCCTCAGCTCTCCGTCTTCGATTCCGTAGTTTGTGGCTTCGGTTTAAGAGTGTATTTACGTTAGCATGGACGGTTTAGGACGATACTGGTGTTTGTGTAAAGGATTATTTAAAGTATTGTGTTTGTTCGTGTTGGGAATTAATCAAAAGATTTTTTCTTTTCTCTTTTTTTAGAGTTATGGATGCTTGAGATTTCTTAAAGGCGTATATTTACGAAAGCACTCACGGTTTAGAACGATAATGGCGTTTGTATAATAGTTACTTTAAATTTAATAATAGTTAAATTTACTGAAGAATCAATCGTGTTTTTTAGGAGGGGGGGATTCTGGGTTATGGTTGCTTGAGGATTATTTTTTTTAGTTTTCTTCTGGTTTTGTAACTGAGAGGGAGTTTATTTTTTTGTAACCTTTCTTACCCACTTACCTAGCTCCCATAAGCGCCACGAGACTTCCCGGTCCGACAGCTCCAGATACTAAAAAAAAAGAAAAAAACAAATGACGATCAGTATTATACTATTGAGTTCCATTTGCCGAGAATTATTCGCAGAATGAAAATATATATACACATCTGCAGTATATTTTACAAACTGATCAACAGATTACGTAAATATACAATCAAATGGCAATCAATCATTTCCCCAAAAAATCATATGCCCCCCCACCCCCACCCCACCCACAATCACAAAAAAAAACTACACATATAACTTACCATTATTCAACACGCGCTTAAAGGGCTTCTGGTTATCTTTGTGCTTCTTGTACCAAACCTTCTTCTGCCGGACGTACACGCTCAGGTCACGCCAGGTTAAGGTGATACCCTCGTCAATAGGTTTCCAGGTCCCGTATCTGGTCGTGGTGTGCTTCATGAGCTCCACGCTGGACTGAGGAGAGAGAGAGAAAAAAAAAGGGCCGTGAAAATGATATGTTAGTGCTAGTTGGGTAGTTAGTGTTAGGGAAATAACGTGTTAGTACTAGTTAGGTAGTTAGTGGTAAGAGAACGACCTGTTAGTCTTACTTGGGTAGGTAGTGTTAGGGAAAACTACCTGTTAGTGTTAATCAGGTAGTTGGCATTAGGGAAACAACCCGTTACTGCTAGTTAGGTCGTTAGTATTTGGAAAACAACCCATTACTGCTAGTTAGGTCGTTAGTGTTGGGAAAACGACCCGTTACTGCTAGTTAGGTCGTTAGTATTTGGAAAACAACCCGTTACTGCTAGTTAGGTCGTTAGTGTTGGGAAAACGACCTGTAACTGCTAGTTACGTAGTTAGTATTTGGAAAACAACCCGTTACTGCTAGTTAGGTCGTTAGTGTTGGGAAAACGACCTGTAACTGCTAGTTAGGTAGTTAGTATTTGGAAAACAACCCGTTACTGTTAGTTGGGTCGTTAATTTTGGGAAAACGACCTGTAACTGCTAGTTAGGTAGTTAGTATTTGGAAAACAACCCGTTACTGCTAGTTAGGTAGTTACTGTTTGAAAAACGACCTGTTAGTGCTAGTTAATTTGTTAATTTACGGAAAATGACCTGTCAGTGCTAGTTGGGTAGTTAACTTTAAGAAAACGGTCCGTTAGTGTTAATTAAGTAGTTAATGATAGGAAAACGACCTGTTACCGCTAGTTAGCTCGTTAATTTAAGGAAACACCATGTTAGTACTAGTTAGGTAGTTGGCGTTAGGAAAACTACTTGTTAGTGCTAGTTATTTCGTTAATTTAAGGAAACCGACCTGTTATTGATGGCTAGGTTGTTAGGAAAACTACTTGTTAGTGTTAGTAAGGTAGTTAGTGTTAGGAAAACAACTTGTTAGTACTACATAGGTAGTTAGTGTTAGGAAAACGACTTGTTAGTACTACATAGGTACTTAGTGTTAGGAAAACGACTTGTTAGTACCACATAGGTAGTGTTAGGAAAACGACCTGTTAGTACCACATAGGTGGTTAGTGTTAGGAAAACAATTTTTGTTAGTCCTGCTGTCTCTGCAGGACAAGGTTGACGGTGGAGGCAGTAAATGCGCCTTACACAAAAGCCGAAGTGAAACAGCGGCAGATGCATTAAGAGGTTTTTAAATTTTGCAAGGAGGAAGAGACTGAAAAAAGGAGTGTAAAATGTAGTACTTTTTCCGAATGGTACAAAAGAAAAGGAAAATGAAAGACTAATACACACATAATATTCATACATTCATATATATACAGACAGACACATAGATAGATGAAAAGAGGGATAGATAGATAGAGAGACGGGCAGATATACATCTAGACAGATAGATATACAGATTGATCAAATAGATAGATTTACCACTAGATAGACAAACTACTCAACATTGAACAAAAAAAAAAAACGCTAAAAAGAACTTAAAGTAACACGCAATAAAAAAACGAACCATTATCTATACTTCAACACAAAACCAACGCCCCCGTGACAGAACACATTACTATAGGCTGTTCTAAAGAGCTTTTCATTGAGCATTGTTAGTGCGGAGGTTCCCTTGCATGCTGGGGACAGATTATAAGGAGTCATGTGGCCCTGACTGGCATTCCTGACTGGCACTGTGTAGGCAGGGACCAGGCGCCACACACAGGAGAAAGGATTATACAGTCTTTCGCTACAAAACTGGACTGTTTATTCGTTATTATTTTCATTGTTATTGTTGTTTTCATTATCGTTATCATTATCGTTAATTATTATATGTCATTGCTGTTATTATTATCATCGTCACGGTGTAAGAAGAAGAAGAACAGTAATAGGAATAACAATAGTAATTAAAATAATGACAATATTACTAATGATAATAATAATAACACTAATAATGATAGTAATAATAAGGATAAGGATAAGGATAATAATCATGAAAATGATAATGATCATAACAATGGTAACGATAATAGTAATAACTGTAAAATTAATACTAAATAATAACAATAATGAAAATAATAATAATGATAATAGCAATAACAATAATATTAAATAATGGAAATAATTATCAGAGTAGTAATAATGATAATGATGATGATAATAATAATAATAATAATAATAATAATGATAATAATAATGATAAAAGATAATAATGACAATAATAATGTCAATGATAATGAAAATAATAATAATAATGATAATAACAATAATAATGATAATGATAATAATGATAATGATAATAATGATAATGATAATAATGATAATGATAATAATGATAATAATGATAATGATAATAATGATAATGATAATAATGATAATGATAATAATAATAATGATAATAATAATGATGATAATAATAATGGTAATACTACAACTAATGATAATAATAATAAAACTAATAATAGTAAAATATTGATAATGATAATAATGATAACAATAACAATAATAGTAAAAGTGACTAATAATATTGATAATGATACTAAAGATAATGGTTATTTGTACGTATAGTTATCATCGATTTCATTATTTTGTCATTAGCATTACTATCCATATATTCATCAGCATTGTTGTAATCATTATTATTATTATTATCTTCATCTTTATCGTTATCATCACTATCAATATCATTATTGCTACTACTTGTTATTACCATTCTTATCATCATTATCACAATCATTATCATCATCAATGTCATTATCATTATCCTTACAAACGTTATTACTAATCATCATTATCATCATCATAACTGTTCTCATAATTATTATCATTATCATCGGTATCACTATTCTTATAATCATTATCGTAAGCATCGCTTTTATCCCCATTCATCACTACCCCCTTTTTTTTTAATTGCTGTTGATATTTTGATGATAAATATAATGTCAATAGTAAGAAAAAACAAAAGAAAAATAGTGATATTCACATTAAGAACATCAGAGAAAAATAAACATTACCTTTATATTTATTTTTATTTTCTATCATGTATCTTTTTTTTTTTATCTTATCTTTATTTTTCGCGGATATTTTTACGTCTATCTTTATATTTACTTTAACTAAGATATATTTACCTTCATCTCTATCTTTACTTTCTCTCAGATATCTTTACCTTATCTCTTATATTTTTACCTTTTTCTTTATCGTTATTTTCTCTCAGATAGCTTTACCTTTACCTTTACGTAAGCTCAGATATCTTTTACCTTTCTCTTTATCTTTACTTTCTCTCAGATATCTTTCTCTTTCTCTTATCTTTATTCTCTCTCAGATATCTTTACCTTTCTCTTACCTTTACTCTCTCTCAGATATGTTTATTTTCTTATTAATTTAATACTAAGGTTCTATCGACACTTAAGGACACATTTTTTTTTCTCTTTAGATTTGGTCGTAAATTGTTGTGGTTGACATTTTCAGAATATAATATAATTTGTTTCTTTATGTTTGGTCGTAAACTGTTGTGTTTGACTATCATAAAGGTGTTTATAATACTCTAATATCTTGGTGTTAATTTGTGGTTGTGTAACGTCTTATGCTGTTATATTTTCAGTTATGATTAATTTGTATATTTATTTTCGTACCGTAGTCCTTTTTATATGTGTGAGGGTACGCTCTATATATAGTTTACATTTATCGCAAATATAACAGTAATAATAAAGATAATGATTGTGATGTTGGTAATTACTATGATTATTATTATTATTATAATTATTATTATCTTTATTATTATCATTATCATTATTATTATTATTATCATTATCATTATTATTATTACCTCCGCCCAGGAGGTTATGTTTTTGACGGCGTTGGTTTGTTGGTTTGTTAGCAGCGTAGCTCAAAAAGTGCTGGCCGGATTGCATCGAAATTTTGGGGATAAGTCAGAAAGGGACTAACTTAGAACTGATTAAATTTTGGTGATATTCCGAATTACCGTCTGGACGCAGCAGCGGTGTAAGTACATTATATACGCACCTTAGCGGAGGTCTGCACTCTCTGAGTGCTTTTCTAGTTCTTATTATTATTACTGTTATTATTGTTATTATTATTATTAATGTTGTTATTGTCATTATTATTACCATTATCCTTATTATTATTATTACCATTATTATTATTACCTCCGCCAAGGAGGTTATGTTTTCGATGGCGTTGGTTTGTTGGTTTGTTTGTTAGCAGCCTAGCTCAAAAAATACTGGCCGGATTTCATCGAATTTTTGGGGACAAGTCAGAAAGGGACTAACTTAGAACTGATTAAATTTTGGTGACATTCCGAATTACCGTCTGGTTATTATTATTATTATCATTATTTAATCAATAAAGGAGGTAACAAGTTCGGTACACAAATCTACGGTAAACGTGTGCCACATTTCACTGACATTCCGAATTACCGTCTGGACGCCGCAGCGGTGTAAGTACATTATAGGTCTGCACTCTCTGAGTGCTTTTCTAGTTATTATTATTATTATTACCATTATTGTTATTGTTATTATTATCATTATTATTATTATCATTAATATTATTATTATTATTATAATTATTATAATTATCATTATCATTATCATTATTATTATCATTATCATTATTATCATTATTATTGTTATTATTATTATTATAAATATGACCATTATTATTGTTATCATTACTATTATTATTATCTATACTATTATCAAAATTATGCCTATTATTGTTATTAGTATCAGTTTTGTCGATATTATCATTATTATTGTTGTTATTATTATTTCAATCGTTATTATAATCATTATTATCATTATTATTATTATTATAATCATCATTAATACTATCATTATTGTTATCACTATCATTATCACTATTATTATAATTATCATCATTATCATGATTATTATCATTGTAATCACCATCATCATCATAATTATTTTTGTTATTACCATTATTATTATCATTGTTATTATAACTATTATTAGCATTAGTATTAATATTAGATTTTTATTATCATTCTTATCTTCACCTTCATTATTATCATTATCATCTTTGCCATCATCATTCTTAATGTTATAACAATACTTATAACTATTATTTTAACAACGACTATTATTATCATCATCATCATCATCATTACCATAATCACCAAGATTACTTTTAGTTTTGTTATCATTATCATTATCATTATTACCATTATTATTCTCATTATCATTAAAATTACTAGCAAAATTATTGTTATATCACTGTAATTAGCATTGCTAATTACAGTGATAATTA